AAATTGGTTAAATGGCTGAGTACATAACAGGGAAATTGACTTTCTGATAGACTCGGAGCACTTCCCTGTGACGTACACTCTCTCAACAGCCTGGCGTCGTGTAGCAGTCAAACAGAATTTACTTTGCCATTTCGCCACTCTAGAAAAAAAAAAAGAATCTGTCTGCTCGGTACCTGCTTTTGAAAAAATGGTCATTAAAAAAATCAAGTTCTACAGCATGCCAAGCTTTTTCGAATGCAATTTTTTGAATGTCTTGATGACTACTCCGAATAATCTTATGATTTCGATAGGGCAGATAGAACCTTTGGTCTCGGACCTCATTTTCCTAGTAACTAAGAACTGACAAAAGTGACAGAAAGAACTTTGTAATTCTAAGGTAGCGATTTTCCACCACGGTTCATCAAATATCTCTCTCTCTCTCACTCACTCACTCTCTCTCTCTCTCTCTCTCTCTCTCTCTCTCTCTCTCTCTCTCTCTCTCTCTCTCTCTCTCTCTGTCTCTTAGCAGGTCACACATCAGTACGAATCTTGCACGGACGTCAAAGATTTGGGTCCCCGACCCTTGGTAAATCTGTCCTCTGGTCTAGAAGTTGTCTGTGACACCCTGACGGACGGGGGAGGCTGGATTGTGATCCAGGTGAGAGCTATTTTATACACTCTTCGTATCACGTCATGTCACGGAGAAATCACGCGCTTCTAGGTTTTTTTCGTTTGTTTTTTCTTAGGGGATTTGGCAGATGAAGGTACTGGGATAATTCTTAAAGCATGTTCGCTAATCTTGCTTGCAGTGAAAAACTACTCATCTATCTTGAATAGCAGTCCTGATATTTGCCGTTCAAAGAGGTTTGGGCAGGGTGGGTGGGAGGGGGCGCCTGGTGTCAAAGGTAAAATTAATACACACATAAAAATGACTGCCAAAGTATGATGATTCCAAAACGGCTAATTTACATTTGTGTCCAACTCATATCACTGTTTGGGTGGTTTTCACCTCAGGTTCTTAAATTCTATAGTGTTGTGCAAATACATGATATTATAATCATGCTTTATATAGAGTTGAAATATGGCAGAAAACACACTTTGTCAACTCGTACGGTTAAATTTTCCAAATTTAAAGCTATTCACTCATCAAGACAATTTTTCTCACAGTGTGATTTGGTATGCCGTATATGATAAAAAGCCTGGCAGCATGCTATACTAAAAGTCTGTTTAAAAAAAAAATTGAGAACAGATAGATATACAAATTCATTTGTACCAACTGCAGTGAGGTTACTGAACACACAGTGCTACAAATGAAAGAGAGAGAGAGAGAGAGAGAGAGAGAGAGAGAGAGAGAGAGAGAGAGAGATTGCTTTACATAGCGTTTTGTTTCAGCACGTTAAACATGTATTTAAATCTACTATCCTGTCTTGTTGTGCGCATGCGTGAGTGAACCTTTGTAACATCCACTAACATTGTAAGCGACCAAGACAAATGAAGATACGAACAAAGCTTAGAATTTTAAACTCAAATGTGAAGTCAGTCTTTTTGTATGGATGTGAGACGTGGAACGCATCCCGTACGTGCATAAAGAGGATCCAGGTTTTCTTAAACAAGTGTCTGAGGAAGCTACTGAGGATCAAATGAACAGACAGGATCACCAACGAGGAAGTAGTAAGAGAACGAGAGAGAGCCCAGTCAGAGATGAGGTGGGAAGAAGGCGTTGGCGATGGATAGGACACACTTGCAGGAAGTCAAGCAACTGCATAACAAGAAAAGTGTTAGATTGGAACCCGCAGGGTAAAAGATCAAGGGGAAGCCCACGTGGAACCTGGAGAAGAGTCACGGAAAAGGATGTACAGAAAAATGGGAAGACGTGGAGTGACATCAAGCGACTAGCCCAGGATAGGGAAAGGTGGAAAGTGTTTGTTCGTGGACTTTATCCTGATCCAGGGTGAGAAAGGCAATGCTGATGATTAAGACAAATGTCTCCCTTTGAAGTGAATAAAGGTTGTCCTAAAGTTCTCTTGTGTGTGTTTTGTCTACAGAGACGTGCTTCAGCGGACGTGGACTTCTACCGCGGCTGGAATGACTATAAGTACGGCTTTGGTGACCTCGCAGGCAATTTCTGGCTTGGATTGGAGCATATCCACAAGCTTACAAATCAGGTAAGTTTTTGTTGTTGTTGTTGCTGTTTTTTTTTCAAAGGAATAGCATGAATTGTAAAGAGCTTATTGCTTGCTGTTGAGCTGGAATAATATATATTATTGTTATTATCATCATCATCATCATCATCATCATCATCATCATCATCATCATCATCATCATCATCATCATCATCATC